GAAAGAAATAATCCATCGGAGGAAGCCCGTCATGAAAATGCAGAATCTTAACTAATCTGCAACTTGTTAGAGATGAGTTTGTATTAAGTTGAAAAGCATTTTGTACTGGCACTTGATAAATTAACTCTTTTATCATAGCCTTTATTTATTTCACAAAATGTATCCAGTTGTTGCCCCTTTGCCGTCTCACTCCCTCTCTTCCCCCTGCTCCCTTGGTGTGCATGTGAGTTGTTATAGGTGTGAGGGTGCGAGTAGGCTGTGCCTGCTATTATACTAGTACCATTATATAAATTAAACATCTAATTATGGACTGTTATTTATATTATGGGGGAAAATGCAGGAAGAAACTGTGTCTTTCAGGCAAGCCTTGGCCAGTTTCCCAGACGAGTGCAAAGCAGCATCAGTTAATGACATATCTCCACATTTGTGCTTCATATGCCTATTGCATCTAGCTAATGAGCATGGGTTGTCGATTCATGGCTGTCCCAGCTTGGATGATCTCACCATACAACTTAAATGACATGCTACAATGCCATGCCCCAGCTTGGATGATCTCCACTTTCAAACTTTGCGTCGCTTGAAGGGAATCATATTCCACCATAGCAATCTGGTACCCATTTTCCTTCGCATAAGGAAAGCCCATCTCTCACTGCTATGTTTCTGCATTCCTACACTTAAACTGTGTTATGTTAAAATCCAATGTTAGTGTAACAATAGGTTAATATTGATTGATATTCTTTCCTTCTTTTTTTGGTTTGTTCTTTGATACTTCAAATTCTTAATATTTTTGCATGGCAGTTTTTATATATAGAATGTACTGAAAAAACATGGATCTATTAGATTTGATATATATTTGATTTTAACATGAATTTGACTTTGGTATATAATAATTCTCCATATAAAAAGAAAAAAAGGTATACAAACAAATATTACAGTTTGCAGACTTTATCATGGGACAATTGACTCCTGTCTTTTTAATTGTATTGCTTGGGATCCATACATCAAGAAGTGTAGTTTAGGAAAACATAGCAGCAGAGCTTTCCAATCTCTGACTAGTGTTGCACTTGGATCTCCAAACTTCAGTATGGAGCATTTAAGTCTCCAATTTTTCATTTTGATTGCACGTGAGTTTTCAATAGACGATTTTGCCATTATTTTTAGGGTAATTATATTTACACCATAATTTTTATGAATTCTTGAAACAAGAAGACACTCTGAAAGTACATTTTAGGTCACTTTCCCATCGTGTTGATTTTGGCACACTAAAATTGCTTAGATACTGTCGAAGCAAAGATGAGATGCCAAAATGAACTCTTCTATGGTAAATGCTCTGGTTGTGACGGTTGATGTCCTTGCTCTCTTCATCAAAATACGGATAATGGACCGAGGACAGATTAGAAGAAGAAACATAAGATGGTGGACTTATAATTGGTCTCATGGTTTCAAAAGAATTTTCTCTCCCTCTTTCTCTTTGTTCCAATATTACCTTTAGGCAATACTTATGCGTTGTACATTAACTGCCACCAGTGTATTGATTGATTGACGAGCCATCAATTCATTCTCCATTTTTTTGACTTTCACTCGTGTATAGCAAAGATAGTTTGATTGCGCATCAGGTCATTAAGCAAGGCCTCTATAAAACTGTTTTTTACTTGTTGGGGGAGATGCAACTCAAATAAGCATTTTTTCTGTACTCCAATGGCCAGCCAGATATTCCATCCAACATTATATAAATGCAATTCCATCCATTAACTCTAATCCCTCATCTTCATTTTCATCATGCAATATCAATCAAGCGGTTACTTCACGATTTCCATCATCTTCTTATAAGAAATAGAAACTTAGTTATAAGTTATCGAATCAATGACATTAGCACAAATATAACATGAAAGATATTTGTCTATTTAGTAATAAATTGAAATGTCATAACAAAAAAAACCTTACTTTCCAAAACACATGCAGTATCATTTTGGTACTCATTCATAATTATTAATCGACACGAGTACTACACAATATTAAGAGTTAAGCTATGTATGCATGAACCGAAACGAATCAAAGGCAAACTAAAGTTAAGTTCTATATAAGGTAAGATTACATGTCAAACATGCAAATCCTGCATGTCCCTACACGACACTAAAACTAAGATTGGATAAAGAATATTTTATATATATATAAAAGAATAGACTCTAACCTCTAAACTATTAGAAAGAATAAAGAGGATGCAGTGTGCCATGTCCCATACTTTGTTTAATTCAACTATATCTAATCCAATATCTATCAATTTGAGGAATGCGGGGTATACAGCATTAAAGTTTGATATGAAGAAAACAGGTGTCAAGGCCTTGGCTGACTTTTTTATGGCCATCCGTTGACCTGCTTTTTCCGCCGGTAAATCCCATTTCTGTTCTATTTTTCTCGACTCCAAATTGTTCAAAAATAATAGCGTTGAGAGATACATAACTATTAAATAACATACAACTTAAGATGGTGGCTTGGCCTTACCTCCTCATTGAGAGACTCGGAGGCTATTTTAAAAGTTTAAAAAACTATACATCACGCGGCCTAGCCTAGCCTAGCCATACGCCTGATATATTATTTTTCCAGAAATTTTCAGTTATATAAACACGATTTATTATTGAGTGTCGGCAGGGCAGGGCAGGGTAGGGTAGGGTGTATGAACCTTAAGTCGGTACCCCTCACCAGCCATGTACTCGTTGACTTTGAATGTCTCTCATTTAATACTCCCGCCAGTTTCCCAACGGTTCAAACGCGTCGCATAACCATGCACATTGCACTCATTAATGACTTCAGGGCAATTTGCCTATATATTCACTAGTTTACGAGTAAGATGAGTGAACTGAGAATTGTCAGCAATGGGTCCCTTTCAAAAATGGGTTTGCTTGTTGCTTCTTCTTGTAGGCATTGTCTTACAGTTGAGTGTAATTTCCCTGGGAGATGATAAGCTCGATAAAGCCAGGTGGGGAGATGATGATGACTGTAGATATAGTAGGAGAGGCTGTGGTGGGGGCCGCTTTGGTCGTGGTCCTGGTTGGGGAAGACCAGGTCATGGTGGTTTTGGAGGAGGTAGAGGTGGAGGTCATGGGGGAGGTGCTGGAGGAGGTGGAGGGTTGGGTGGTGGTTCTGGTCGCGGTGGAGGGTTAGGTGCGGGTGGAGGAGTTGGAGGAGGTGCTGGAGGGGTAGGTGGTGGTGGAGGATTTGGTGGTGGAGGAGGTGGAGGTGTAGGCGGTGGGTCAGGTCATGGTGGTGGCTTTGGAGCGGGAGGAGGTGTGGGAGGTGGTTCAGGAGGAGGCCTTGGAGGTGGAGGTGGTGCAGGAGGAGGTGGAGGTGGTGGTATTGGGGGTGGTTCTGGTCATGGTGGAGGATTTGGAGCAGGAGGAGGTGTGGGTGGTGGTGCTGGAGGAGGCCTTGGTGGAGGTGGCGGTGCGGGAGGAGGTGGCGGCAGCGGTGTTGGGGGTGGTTCTGGTCATGGTGGAGGATTTGGAGCAGGAGGAGGTGTGGGTGGTGGTGCTGGAGGAGGCCTTGGTGGAGGTGGTGGTGCGGGAGGAGGTGGTGGTGGTGGTGTTGGGGGTGGTTCTGGTCATGGTGGAGGATTTGGAGCAGGAGGTGGTGTAGGTGGCGGTGTTGGAGGAGGGGCAGGTGGAGGAGGAGGAGGAGGAGGCGGCGGTGGGTCAGGACATGGGGGTGGCTTTGGAGCTGGTGGGGGTGTTGGCAATGGAGCAGGTGGAGGTTTAGGAGGTGGAGCAGGGGGTGGCCATGGAGGTGGAGGGATTGGAATCGGTATCGGAATAGGGATAGGAGTGGGCACGGGGGTAGGCCATGGCTCCGGCAGTGGCACTGGAAGTGGTGGCGGAGGCGGACGGTGAAGATCATCTTGCCCATAAATACCACTTGGCTACTGGTTGTTATAAGACATAATTGTGAAGTCATGTGCAATAAATTGAAAGTCGTGCGATGAAAACTTGTATCTTTTTGTTTGTTTGAGAATTCAAATCTTTCTATTAATCTTTTTAGTCTTTGTCCAAGTTTATAGCATTACAAAAGACAAGTGTTGTCAATCACAAGTCAAAATTAATTCAAGAGCATTTAGCTTTATAATTAGACCATCGGCATTTAATTTATATTGCAAACATCCCGGAGGCGCCATGCTAGATGGGATGTCCAGTCCTATCCCCAACATTAACCAGTGTGTGTATTATTTTTTTGAACAACGTCATCATTATCGACAATATTTAATTGGTGAAAAAACTATTTTATTTTTTAAATTAGTTAATAGTGCGTTGCCACGTGGTACAATGTAAACAATAACAATAATCATACTCAAACAGGGATTGAAAACAGGTTTGGCTAAGTTTGTTTGTTTGTTTTATTTTTTTTTTTCCATTCAAACTGTCCAATGATGTAGCCCCACCCCCTCCCCCTGTTTTTGATCCCTGTCATTGAACATGCTTGTGTAACATGATTGAAAAAATAATGTAAAGAAAAATGTCCATGTAGCATGATTGAATTTATTTTTACCACAAGTAAAAGAAAAGATTTTTACTTTTATAAACTGTAAAAAGAAGTTTAAAGTGAATGACTGTGAGATAATCCGAACATTTCTCCCTGTTTTGGGCACATCGAAGGATGAATATAATCAATACCTTCAACTATTCCAACATATAGATGAATATGTTCCAAATTAAAATTAATCCAACAATTTTTTCACGTAACTTTAATAATACTATCACGTAGCACTTTTCCAAATGGAATCTTGTTACAAGTCGAAATTTCAACAAATAAATCCAATACGGAAAAAGTTCAAAATTCCAAATACACAATAAATCACTCAACTAAAATGGATATCAGCTTTAGATTTGGATAATACTCACATACCTCATGCCCTCTTTGAGATGAGATGTGGTGTACAGAACTTCCATCTACTTGGGATAATTAATTATATAAAAACCCCCGGTGTTTCGCATAACCTGCATATTACGGTGTTACTGGGAATGAGACCGGGTGGTTCCCTCCTTCCATCCTCTTTGGCGTGCTCTCAGCTCCCACATAGCAGTCAGCCCTTTTTGTGCCAATAGATTTGCTTCAGCCTTTTCTCTAGCCTCTTCACATGTCTCCATCCCAGAATTGCACTTGTCTGCCTCTTTTTGGTATTGGGATGTCATTTTTTTAGCCTCAAGCAGTGCCATATCCCCACGCTTCTGATTTTCCAAAGCTTCGGTTTCTCGCAGTTTTAATTCCTCCGATAATAGCTCTGCAAAGTTCTTTTGAGTATCTTCACTCACATCAGGATCAAGCTTTGCACAATCTGCAGAAAATGAAGACAAACAGAAGAAAATGATTACTCTCAGGAATCAATGCACGGACATAATTTGAAAAGTCCAGGTAGTCTTGTATCTTAGACTAACTAAATAAAAATATGGTTCTGACCTGCAAAGGATACATTACTCAGTCCTGCAAGAGGGGAAAAAAATGTAATCAGCAAAAGCAAGATTTTGACAAGAACACCAGATGAAACATGGAGAGGGATGTCCGCGCGTACATTGAGGAAAACCTTACCTAGGTCCTATCAGATACATGAATATTGGAAATGAGAAAAAAAAATTACGAAGTACTTGACTCTAAGAAAAAGAAGAGGTAATCTACTGGCAAGAATTACACATGCTATGGAGACAAGGAGCATGTTCAGATAATGAACTATTTGTCATAAAGTGTTATTTTCATGTCAGAGGCAGTCCGCGGGTTAAAGATCAGAACATGACCAGCCAATAAATAAATCAAACAAAGAGACACACCAACAATAAATGAGTTAGGTTACCTTGCACAAATATGACATGACCTACTAATATAAGTTTATACATGCAAAACTCGCTGGTCATTGCTCCCTCAATCTTGGACGAATGTCATAGGTTAAACTCACATGGAATGTTAGTAGGAGTTTAAAAGATCAGTATTTGATGCAAGTTCAATTTTTCATCCCAAAACCAGTGTCCAACAATATTAGTCAGTAACGTTGCATACTGTAAGAATACTGTTGGAAGAAAATGTCTATTATAGGAAACAAGGCATTATTTCTAGACATGTTAGAAAGGATATGTGATCATTTAATTCCAAACAGAGAAGTATTCATGTCGTTTTTTATTCCAGATTTCTCTTGAAAACCTATAACTAGTTGATGTTTTATAGAGCTAAGACACTAGTCATTAAAGAAAGTTTCTCTGCTGAAGCATGCAGATAAATAGCTCAATATGAGACTTCACCAAATAACCATCCTCTAAGTCCACTAGCAATAAAGGGCATTGAAGAATGGGTGTGCCGTATTGAAATAAAACAAAAATGAGTACCCAGAGGACTTTCTATAGTCCCAGTTACGTGTTTTTCTTGACTTCTTGACCTCTGAATGAACATTTAAGGAAAGGTAAAATGTTTGAAGCTTTATAACTCATTATTATATGTCACAATGTGGCAATATGATGTATGTACTATTAAAATAAACACCACATCCGCCACAATTCTTCACTGGGCACGTACGTAAGATGATCATATTGGATAAAAGACCCTTTTTGTTTGACCAGTTAACTATTCATTATAGAAAGATATAACTCAAAAATTTGAAGCAACACATTTATTAGATGGTTTCATCTAAAGTCCAGATAAGTGGCATACAAAGTTAAAAAAAAAAACTGTTAAAGTGCCCCATGGCCAAAATAAAGGAATTTCTCTATTAGTACAGCATTGTCAATGCCATAATTAGACTGGGGAAAATAAAGAATAAAAAAAGAGACCAACTGAAAGTTTCGGTCTCAACAAACAAACAGCAAGTAGAAAGCTCCATAGTGATCTTTGAATATTACACCTACTAAAACTCTAGAAACAGTACAGACAGCACGTTTCTTTCCCTTAGATAATACGTTCCTTTACCTAAAACCACCAATCAATACGGGGATAAAAATGTGAATTGAAATGCATAAATATTATACCTTCTTACTGGAACGGAATTAAATCCTGTTTTTTAAGAAAAATACAATTAACGACAAGAAGCAGAAAAACAAAGTAACATCAATTTCTTAGCTTTCCTTGTAATTTATTTTCTCTCACGTTGCCATATTGCCACAGAACAAATTAAAATATTTTTTGTGTTTTCTTCTCCTCAGGTCCTCTAACTCCAAACAGAAAGAGTAAATCTACATGAAAACACTTAGTACCAAGAATTATGGAGTTATGCACGAGTTCATTGAATCTTGGCATATTTTACAGCTAAGAATCGAAAAGTATTATAAGAATGCAAGAATAACAAATTTACTTATGAGAATAGACCTACAAAGTCGATCTAATTGGTCGTGGATTTCTAATAGTTGATCAGCATATCCACGAGTAAGAAGCAACTTTAGTGATGTTTGCATCTTTGTTCATCAATTTCAATTGAGCAATGACGGGACAAAATTGATGCGAGTATCGATCAAAATGCGCTAAATTGAGTGCAGATAAACTTTTAGCGCGAAATCACATATTCCCAAATGGTCAAATACCACTTTACCATCAGAAATCAAAGCAGATCCAAGTATAGATATCAATATATATGCAGTATGTGTATTTTTACCTTGCGGAATGGTTAGAAGGGGCTGAGAATCACAATCACAAATGCAAGGAGGGCAAGAGGAGGCGGAAGAAGAGCGGCTGACAGCAGCTAAGCCTTCCAGTAAGTGCCAATACAGAGGTGGGCCTACTATGTACCCTGCCAGGCACAATGCCATCAACGCCACTACAGCTTTCAAAACCCTGGTTTTCACTGCCATTTTTTGGCAAAACTCTCTATTTCTGTTAGTGTCCGTGCGAATTTTTCAGCAGAGATGTATATATATACGTAGCTGAATGTATTTGTAGGAGACGGAGAGCAGTGAGATCAGAATGTAAAAGCAAGGACGGCCACGATTTCACCGATGGAATCCCAGGCGCAGCCATGATTGATGGAGAAATACACTTTGGTCACCTGTGTCGTCAAGAAGTTTCAATTTAGTCCCTCAAGCTCTAACATTTCCAATTTAGCCCCTTTTTGGTATCACTGAAAAATCTGATTAAAATCTAAATAAAAATCAATAATTAATTTTAACTGCACATTTTATAGGACCCACAACTTTCGAACTACATATTCTATCAATTTTTATCAAAATTTGCTAAAAATTGATTTTAATCTATACCAAACAAGGACTTAATAACCAAATTTACGTTTTTTACTCAACGTTGACACCTCAAAGATAATTACAATCATGCTGGTAGACTTGAAAGAGAGGTCTATTAATCATACACGACCGAACATCTACAATTCGTATGGAACTTAATCACTAGACGACGCTTTCATATCTATAATTAAAATATTTAATGATCATTTAAAATATGCATGGAACTTAAACTTCTAGTGTTTGTCTTTAAAATTTTTACTCATTTAAAGTATTGGAGTATTTTCGGATGATCTTAATCCTCGTTATGCTACAGGTACATGAAAATCTTGATAGAATTTTTACAGATTCAACACTTGATAATTTTTCATTGATTTTGGACATAATAATGGCACAAAATGCACCATACACACAACACTTGTATAATTTCTGTGCAGGGAATTATTCTATTCGAAACTCATCTTTTTTGTAAAATCATTTTTAATCGCACATTTTATGAGATATATTATTTGTATTAACTTTTTAATTATATATTTCATTAATTTTTATTAAAATTTACTAAAAATCTAATTACAGATTTTAAGTTAAATCAATGCTCGTGTAGATTCAGGCTTGACAATTGGAAAATTCAATTCTATCTTCGCCAACTTATCAAATTTTGGTATCAAAATAATGAAATAATCGAGTCTTTGTGTAAATTTTATTATATTATTTTTGAAAGAAATTAATTTTTTTTTTCTTTCATTGCTTGTCGCATCTGACGAAGGCACACGCACACGCAGTCGCACTCACCCGACTACCCACCGGCCATCATCGCTGAAATCAGAAACCATAGAAAACTATGTCCGCGGTTCCACATGATCTGATCCGGCGGATTCAGATCTCGACCCGAAACGTAGCTGGACTATCGGGGTACGACCCCGGAGACCTGACCCTGCCCGCCCTCCCGTCTCTCTCGGCAACCATCGCGTCCTTGGAACCTTCCCTGCCATATCTACGCTGCACCCACTGCAAAGGGAGGCTACTAAGAGGCTTACAGTCTTTCATTTGTGTCTACTGTGGCAATCCCCACCAAAATGACGTTGCTCCCGATCCCATTTGCTTTAATTCCACCATTGGGTATCAGTGGTTGCTCCAGTCTCTTCAGCTCGATGGATCGGTATGATTTAATGATCACTTCTATTATTATTCTTTAGATAATCGTATGCTTACAAGGTACACAATTTGGGTGTAAGGTTCTGTTTTTGTTGTTCTTGTACACATTTCTCCTTAAAAACGATTTGTGTACTGTTAGAAAAACGTGGGTCAAGTTTGGCTTGCAATGAAATATGGAATTGAGAAAACACGGCAAAATTGGACACAAATATTTACGTGGTTCATCCAATTTAGGTTACATCCACGAGCAATATAGGAGGATTTCACTGTAGTAGGAGAAATACAATAATACTCTCTAAATATAAGGGGATAACAACAATTAATTTCTCTTGTAATATAGGAGAAAACAAGTAGGAAATACTAGGAGAAAATAATTTTTCTCTCCATAATTTTATCTCTCTACTCAGAATATTTTCTCTCTAAATAGCTTGATACCTTTTCTTCATTCCTAGCCTTCTATTTATAAGGAAATATCACCGCCTTACTTCATAAAATTCACTCCAAAGTGTCAATTGCTGAAAATTTCAGCTGAAAGTGAGACATTCCAATTTCTCTACTATTATCATTTAATGCAAATTCATGCATGCATGACAAATGTGGCAATTTCTTTGGTATTTTTGTCAAAGAAAGTGGCTTAAATAATTTTCTTCTTCCTCTGCAAATTTCGGCTGACATTGGTTAAGAAGAGAAATTCAATTTGCCAACCTCCAAACAATAAATGAGTTCCTTGGTGATGAAGAAAATGACTTTCCAGGTGTTCGATGATCAACATGGGAAAGAACAGAACCAGCTTTGCACTCAGAGTATATTATGGAGGGCAATGTTGCATACTGCTACTAACCAGAAGATGGAGAGCCATCAACTTTCCATGAGGCTATAAATAGCCAAGAGGTTTCTCTGTGGATGGTAGCAATGCAAGAAGAAATTGAAGCTCTTCATAAGAACAAGACATGGGATCTTGTTCCACTACCACAAGGAAGAAAGGCTATTGGAAATAAATGGGTCTACAAGATCAAACGAGATGACAATGACCAAGTGGAGCGGTATTGTGCAAGACTGGTGGTGAAGGGATATGCTAAGTGGAATGAGATGGATGGCAATGCAATTGCTAATTTGCATCTAGCGCTAGCCGATGGAGTATTGTCAAGTGTGGCGGAGAAAAAGATTACAACAAAATGACTTTAAATGGGAGAAATGTTGGGCAAAGTCATTTTATTCATCACCGAGGAACTCATTTATTGTTTAGAGGTTGGCAAATTGAATTTCTCTTCTTAGCCAATGTCAGCTGAAATTTGCAGAGAAGAAGAAAATTATTTAAGCCACTTTCTTTGATAAAACACCAAAGAAATTGCCACCTTTGCCATGTATGCATGAATTTGCATTAAATGATAATAGTGGAGAAATTGGAATGTCTCATTTCAGCTGAAATTTTCACCAGCTTTGGTTGACACTTTGGAGTGAATTTGATGAAGTAACGCGGTGATATTTCCTTATAAAAAGAAGGCATTAACTTCAACGAAATATTTTCTCCTGTGGTTCGTCTCACAACAATTCAAGTAGTTCTGGCGATGTGTGTTACATTCGACTTACACTTAGAGCAGTTAGATGTGAAAACTGCATTTCTTCATGGAGAACTTGAAGAAGAGATTTATATGCTCCAACCAGAAGGTTTTGAAGAAAAAGGAAAAGAGAACTTGGTTTGCAGGTTGAACAAATCTCTATATGGTCTCAAACAGGCGCCGAGATGTTGGTACAAGAGATTTGATTCCTTCATCGTAAGCCTTGGATACAACAGACTCAGTTCAGATCCGTGTGCATACTACATGAGATTTGGAGATAGTGATTTCATTATTTTGCTGTTGTATGTTGACGACATGTTGGTAGCAGGCCCCAACAAAGATCGTATTAAAAACCTGAAGGCACAGGTGGTTAGAGAGTTTGAAATGAAGGACTTGAGACCAGCAAACAAGATTCTAGGAATGGAAATTTACCGAGACAGAAATAATAGGAAGATTTGGCTTAGTCAGAAGAACTACTTGAACAAAATCTTGCGGCGCTTCAATATGCAAGATTGTAAGCCAATCTCTTCCCCTCTTCCTATTAATTTCAAGTTATCCTCAAGTATAAGTCCCAGCAATGAAGCAGAGAGGATGGAGATGTCTCGAATACCGTACGCATCAGCAGTGGGTAGCTTAATGTTTGCTATGATCTGTACAAGACCAGACATTGCACAAGCAGCGAGAGTGGTTAGTGGATACATGACAAATCCTGGTAAAGAGCATTGAAGTGCTATAAAGAGGATCCTGAGATATGTCAAGGGTACCTTAAATGCTACATTATGTTATGGAAGATCCGATTTTGTTGTAAGGGGATATGTTGATTCAGATTATGCAGGTGATCTTGACAAAAGCAAATCCACCACTGGATGTGTTTACTCTTACTGGAGGAGCTGTAAGCTGGGTTTCGAAATTGCAGTCTATTGTGGCTACTTCTACAATAGAGACAGAATACGTGGCAACTACACAAGTTAACATAGAGACAGGTTGAGCTTGAATCTGAAAAAAAGATCAAGTGTTTGAGAACTGACAATGGAGGAGAATATATTGGTGATAAAGAAAATGACTTTACCCAACATTTCTCCCACTTAAAGTCATTTTGTTGTAACGGGTACACCCTATTGGATTAGGAGATATGATTAGAAGGGATAATATTAAGGTGGATTAGGGTGTATTGTTGGGCAATGTATGACATTTGCATCATACTCTACAAATTTGTACTCTACATAGTTTAGTGATGAATGCTTCAGTGTTTTCATTGACCTTTTCTTTTGGCTTTATTGTCATTTATGATATTTTCCTGGGCAGAATCGTGTAGAGAACTCTTAACTGCACTTTGAAGGTTGGAAATTATATCTTGTTGATATGCAATTAAAATTCATGTCAAAGTTTCGAAGGATACGAGGAGGTATATTAACGTATCCACATTGTTGGTAGTAGCGATTAGGGAACTTTCGGTAGAACAAAGACATATTTCCATGAAACAAACACAAATTATGTTTTTATTGTTTGTGTTCTTATTGTTTATGTTTGTACAGAACCATATATATCTAAATGTACAGTGGTTACAGTGTTTATCAGAGATTGTCAAGGAAATGGATCTGCTCAAGCCCACATTACCAAATTCATTGCATGGAATATTCTAGACTTAGGTTGCTCTGTTTTATTCGTTGCTTTTTTTCCCCCTAATTTTTGTTGTATTATGCTCAAAAGATCACCTGCATTTTCCTTTCTTCTTGCTATCCTTGACCTACATGTGCTGGGCCCTGGTTTGATTACCCATGTAGTATCTTGCATGATTTCTCCTTGTATTTTCTCGCTACACGCTTTTGGACTGTATTGCATTCAGGTTATACAAAGAAAAAGGGTAGTCTCAATTTTATTATCTGAGCCAAGCAGATTCAGAAATCCCTAAAATCTCTCCTTCGGTTTTATTTGGCTATACGATTTTTTTTTGATTTGTGCTCTTTTGCTCGACAAGATAGCTGTTACTCTGGACTTCGGAGAATAGAGGTGGTAGATTGTCTCATAATGAGAGAACCTGAGATTGATAATAAAGTTATCACTTTGAATAATGATCTACTTAGTTACTAACTTCTCGTTCTAGCTCGGGAAGGGTGGGGGGGGGGGGGGGGGGGGGGGGGGGGGGGGGGGGGGGGGGGGGGGGGGGGGGGGGGGGGGGGGGGGGNAGCCCGAAGTAGATTTTTTTTTTTTTAATGATTAATGGCCTGTAGCCTGGGTTTCTGACATGTCTTAATTTTCCAATCCTCAATCTGCCCCTTGGTTGTGTCTATACGGATTTCAATATAAATAAATCTCATCAATTTGCAGGAACTGATTGGACCTCTGATAGAAAAAAGTGAACCGAACCGAGCACAAGGTCCTTCTAAAGGTGAAATTGCCTTGTCTGATTCCTTAAATTTTAGGATAGCATGGCCAGCCGAGATACAGAAGCAAGGCACTAGTGTTTCAGACAAGCAGCCAGAACGGAGTAAACGATCTTTGAATTTAACTGGAGTGGATCTGGACAATTTCTTTTCCGAACCGCAGAGGGATCTTTCTGATAGATCTGTTGAACAGCCAGTAACAGGCAAGCAGGTCTACACTTCACAGTTAGAAGTTTCAGCTCCTGACAACCTAAATTTATTTCAGAATGTTCAGCAGTCCGATCCAGCTGTTAGTTCTTCTGAAGGCCAGAATGATGATGCATTTTCCGGATGGGAGGCAGAGTTTCAGCCTTCTGCTTCTGAAAATGAACACAGTGGTTCAATTACATCTGACTTTTTTATAAGTTCTTCCATGGATTCTGGAAAGAAAATCGAGGATACCAAATCATTTGACCCTCTGAGTTCTGAGGTTGATCTTACTGCCCACATGGAATCTATGTTGGGACCTGGAACCAATCTAAATGATGGAAAGTCGAAAGATTCTGCAGATTCTCCTGCATTTGGTGACTGGGATTCAAATGACCCACTGAATAATGTGACCTCTAATGAGTCCCAGCTAGCTGAGGGGTTTGATGCCACTTTCCAGATCAAAGATGATAATATTTTAGAAAATTCAAACTATTCTTCTACTGATGTTGACTGGTTTCAAGACAATAAATGGAAAACTAACAAAATGGATGAACCCGAGAATACCGTAGCAAGTAGAGATGATGACTCATTTGATGAATGGGATGATTTTACAGGCTCAACTAGCACACAGGATCCTTCTAAAAATGCTTTGACACAAAATGATAATAAACTTTCTGCTTCTCTTGGGAATCCTTCAGAAATAGGGCTGTTCGGTTCAAACAATAAATTTGAAGAAATGGATTTTGGTAGCTTTTTACAACCTAGTCTTTTTTCTGGCTCACCAAGCAATGACAATTTTTCTACAAAAGGGAACACTATTTTGCAAGAAGTTCCTGCTTCAGACAGGTGCGTATATATCTTGCCGAGAGAGGTCCTTGATTAAATTGATATGGTCAATTGCTGGCTTTCTGACCAAAATTATGTTTCTCTTACAAATTTGTCTCCAAATAATTATCATCCCCTTTCACATTGGATTGTTCATGTTGGCATATTTGTTTCTTCTCCATAAAGTCAAAAACAGGTGTTTGGATTTCTCCGTGACAACTGAATGTGTTAATGGTGGCAAGTATCTAAAATAATCTTCAACTGATGAAGCTAGAAGGGTCCTTTTCAACTTCTTTACTTAGATTCTAGGTTATAAAGGATAGGACCATTCTTTTTGCCTGATGCCTTAAGCCCATATTTTGTACAGATTCTTTAAAAATCATCTTTCTCCAAACTCGTTTTCAACCGCTACGTGGACTCTTTAACTTTTCTACTTTTTAACCACGAATTCTCCGAAAAAATCACTTTTCATAAAATTTATTCTCAAAAAATCTACACCAATCACGTCCCAAAAGTAATGGCTTTTGACAGTCATTTCCCTGTATTCATATACCTACATGATCAAGTTATGAGATGAAAAGCAGAAAATTATGTGGGCGCTGAGGCAAATAAGTGATGTAGAGCTTCAAAAGGAAGCTAACCTAGAAAGAAGTTCGAATAAAACTAAAATGATGATCTTTTTACTGTTCAGCTTTTAAATTTGCACAGCATGTCTTTCTTTTCAGTACCATGGAGCCTATACCTTTTTTTTAATTGCCTGCACTGTTACAGTATCCTTGATTACTTGCTTTTTCATGCTCCTAGTACAGTAAGTCTTACTTTCACTAGATTATAATGTAGGACTGAGATGATGATGCAGGTAGAAGGGATAGAAGTATTAGATATACTTTGATCACTTTCTAATTTTTCCATTTAAAAGGACTACTTTTTCACAACAGTGAAAAGGTCTTCTTCCACAACCTTGCTTCTCCCTTCTACCTCACCTGTGACCCCCACCCCGACAGCGAGCCACTATCCCCAGCATCTTCAGCCACCACACACCACCAGACCCTGCCAGGACTGCCACAACTCGACCCCAAGAGAAAAGAATGGAAAAAATCTGGGTAAAAATGAAAAGAAAAAACTAAAGCTTGGGAGCTCGGAGAGTCCTGAGCAGTTGGGAAAATTAGGGGAAGGGGGATAACTTCTTCCACCAACAACTGAACTGAAACTTTTGTTTATCCATGACTGAAAGAGCACAGAAGTAAAGCAAGAAAGATAAAAAAAAGTCGGTAGTCTGTCTCATCGCAGATTCCACATTGCATTGGATTATTATAATAGAGGAAAATATGAAGATTTGAAATTCAGCCATCTTGTCATAATCAAATTTCTGAAATGGAAAGGAGAAAAGAGTAGAAATGGTGGGAATCAGGGTACATTGGATTATGATAACAAGAGGCTTGTTTACGTAACTTTATAAGCGAGGCTCTATTCATTATCTCTCTCCAACTTGGTCTGTAAATATCCTCAACAATATAACTAAAAGGCTGATTGGAATTAGTAATCTAAGTTTGTGAAGAGGTGGTTTGATGTGATTGAACGCTGGTGAACTTGTCTACCAAGATACATAACTAAAGAGGAACTGATAAGATGAGAGTTTCCCTAAATTAGCTTTAGTTTTCTTCAGTTTCATTTTTCTTATCCATGGCTCTGATATTTTTGAATGATGCGATGAGATGAGACGAGTCAATAGATCTTGGTTAAAAATCCGTTAAATAACAGTTTTTTGGTAATTTGGTTCCTTTCCCATGCTTACAAAAGAATTGCAAATTTGATGAAAGAGAGCTCTATTTAATGTGATGCATCGATATGAGATATATTAATTTTACGATCTTCATTCATTGTGATAAGGAACTATGATAGGGCTAGAAGTTCAAATATATTTGCGTAAAAGCACACATTTAGATTAAGCGATTTGTTTTGAATTTCGTTGCCTTATTTCAAATTAAAATATTCATGAAGTTATATCAAGACATTGATGGTGCACAATTAGCCCCTGTTTGAACCCCATTTTTGGGGGAAAATGTGTTAAAGAATAGTGATTTTTTGGAGAATGCGTGGTTAAAAAATGAGGAAAATTTTTGGATTTACGTGTAAAATTATTTTATGGAAGAATGTGTGGTTGAAAAATGAGTTCTGGAAAAATGGAGTCCAGACAGGGGCTTAATGACATATTTCAATTGTTTTTTTGCTGTTAGTAATATGCTCTCTCCATCAACGGCTAAGTAACTTGGTTTTGAGTTTTGTTCTCAAGTAAATGGTTCTAACGTATTATCAATTTGTTTATCATTTCTGGATGAAAATATTTTCCAAACAGTGGTATTAAGATTTCGGCAAAAACTAATTGATTACATAAGAGTTTTGTGCACCAAATATTTGTCCCTTCGACTACGAAAGTATAATGAAGTCATTTAGGTAGGGCACATGGACTATATTGTTTCATTTTTGTGATTGTTGTTACTGACATTTATGCTAAAGTCAGCTGCCTGCTCAACCTAAAAAATAAGTAAGAAGTGAAGTCTGAGTGCAAAGTTCTTTCACTTTCTTATATTTTTGTTGTTGCGCTATGATGATATCTTCTTCCTTCAATTTTTTGACATATGACGTTGAACAGAGACAAACCATGTTTTTTGTTTTCATTCTTGATTTTCGATCAGTTAATATTGACCATAAATTTGATCTATTTTTCTCTCTCTTTTTTTTCTCTTCTACTTTCAGTTTTTTTCTTCTCAATACCTTAATTATATCATCCAACTGTAGGTTAGTTGATACTAGCGGGATTTCTGATGATGCTGGAAATAGTGAAGAGGTTTTTGATAAATCTGCCAAGCGAAGTGATGACATCACAATGTTGATTTCTCAGATGCATGATCTTTCCTTCATGCTTAAGAGTGATCTTTCTATCCCCTCCAAATCAGATAGCCATAATGCCTTCCAACTAGATTGAAAAGCTGTGTATTTGTCAAGCTCTAAATATGTTATACTTTATCCTGGTATGTATTCTAGTGAGGCATATTTATTTTTGTGCCTGTCGGTATTGTAGTTGTACTCTCTGGTTTCTTTCTATACATAAAAACAAGTCCAACATGTAGCACACTCAATTGCATTGGTAAGCAAAAAATAGAAGTCTGGTTTATGCAGGCTGCCTTCATCTCCTTTAAGCATATAAGTGAATCAAGTTTAGATGTGTAATCCTCAGTATCTATTAATCTTCAATTGCTGCCTTTCAAAATTACACAGTAACTTTCTGTTTTACATTTTAGGGTCTTGAGAAATAGTGAAATGAGACATTGGCACTGGTGTCCAAAAATATTGAATGAATCTGAGGTTTAGTCCACTCAGCCAACTCTCCCAACTGAAAAATTCAGATGTGAGTTCTCCCTGTTAAGAAATGAACCGTTTACATGTCATTTGTGGTCCGTGCCTTCTGATTTCCCGTTAATTCTTAATGACACAGTGCATCTGCTACCGCACTTTACAATCAAACAACCATATGCGCATGCACATATTTTGAGGGGAATGAAGCCCGGTTCAAAGCATTTAGGGATTTCTTTCTCCATTGCATATTCAAAACCTCACTGGACTTTTCAACCAGCAGTAGGCTAGAAACTTTGATATGATACCCTTCAATTTCAGTTAGTATCTAGCTTTAAGGCTTTTTTTTAAAACTTAAGTTTTGCCTGGAAGAAGTTTAGGCCGATGCGTATGAGTATGAATAGGGTATAAAATGATTATTAGTATAATTTATGTGTTTTCTTTTTGTAATCTCTTTCTTAAGTCTTAGCAGTTAGAAAAAACTTCGTTACCCTCATATACGTGTAACGTGTCTTGTGCATATTTACTTGAGCGGAGTTATCCCAACCGTACATCCATATCCCTGACTGTATATGTTGGCTTCGCTGCCACCTTTGATTTTGTTCGAAAAGTGAACCAGTGAGAGTAATGTGACTTTTCAACGTTTAAATATACATAATCTGTCGAACAACAATTCACAATTGTGAAATCTTTGGTTTTATGAGCTTGATATAAGATAATTGCACGAGAGTCTATTGCTCATCGTCCCCTCGCTACTGGATGAATGAACTCTACCCGCCTATATAAATGTGTTGGTAACAATAGTCACAACAATCTTTGAACTCTATGGTTTTATGTACTGAATACGAAACTGTGCTATTCGAAGCATCGAGAATGGTTGAAGGATGAACCAGCAATAGCTGTGAAAGCACTCCCAACGAAGCAAAGAAATTTGAAAGCAGTGCATTGCCAATTGAACATCCAAGCAAGCAAAAGTCCACAGCCCAACGTAAATGTTAGGCTCGAATTTTGTGAACTCTTGTTACTATTTTGAACGACGTATGTGAACCATATGTAAAGAATAGGTCTTGAAGGACACATTTGCCACATCATAGTTAAGTAGCTTAAACATATAAAGCAGTGCATTGTCAATTAATTATTGACACATCATTTTTAAATTAACACGTCATCTCAAATTTACTCTCATTAATTTCACCATCAACTCACCAAATTGTTGATATATTAATTTAAAGTAATATGTCAATAATTAATTGAATGAACAACAAAAACTGAAAAGTAGTTCTCAACTTACAAGTGCCTCGCTAGGCCATAACGACTTTACTTAGGGTGCAAAGCCACCAATCACACCAGATGTGAAAGAGGAGAGGACTCGTTGAGGTGGTTTGCCCATTTGTGAAGTGTGAACCACCAACGAGTTGATAAACAAATGAATCTGAACTCGAAAATGCTAAGTTACAAGGTAAATTCGTGAATCTGTTCACTTTAAAAAATCAGGGAATAAGGAATAATGGTGTGTTCTTGTTGCCACGTGGCAAGACCATTGCCAAGTGTATAAATACTGTTAGAAAAGGAAATAGGATCGAATTTGGAGCTGTTTGAGCCCTATTTTCCAAAAAAAAAAAAATGTCTTTTTTTGTAATATTGAATTTTTGGAGAATGTGTTGTAAGAATTAGGAAATTTTTTTGGATTTATGTGCAAAATTATTATATTTGAATAATAGCGATTAAAATGAGTTTAAAGAAAAATAAATTTGAAGCAAAAGATGCTCGAACAGGGACAAAATCATGACAACAATCGAGTTAATAAACAATCGACACATGTCCAAAAGCTAATAAAAGTTTGAAATACCTTTTACTATTAATAATAGTATGCAGTACCATCGATATTACAATATCAGTGCACCAGGAAGTGATAAGACATATTAGGGCTTGTCTGATTCCACTATAAAGCAAAATTTTGATCGTTGGTGGACCACATTGGTTGACTTTCTTCACACATTCGGTCCACCAACGATTGAATTCTTGATTAAAATTGGCACCAGACATACTCTAAATGTGATTCATTTTTTCACTTTTAAAGTGTTTAATCAATTGATGATATTTACATGTCATCGAAGAAGGTGTTTAGTACCAGTAAAGTTAAATAACATTATTATTACTCTATCTTCTCTATAGACATTCCATACAAGTCAAATGAAAAGGTATGCAAAATTCAAACTCTAGTCAAAACAACACTCATTCATATATTTCACACCCAATTATTTTTCATTTTTCTTTTCGACAATTGACTTAGTAGTTAGAGTGCAAACTACCTGTCAAACCTCCTTCGCAACAGTTGCCTTTGCAAGCTAATGGCATTAAAGTGTTCATGTCACGTATATATGAACCTAAATATGACAAGAAATTTATTGACAAGTCATCTAATTGGATCGTGAGGTTAATACTCTTGTTTGAGCCCCATTTCGGGGGAAAACAGATATTGTAATAATAATTTTTGAAAGAATGTCTAGTTAAAAAATAAGAAAAATATTCAAATTTACGTGTAAAATTATTTTATTGAAAAATGTGATTAAAAATGAATTTGAAGAAAAATGATTTTTTTGGAAAATGGGGCTCAAACAACGGCATAGAGCCTGTTTGGTGCACATTAAAATGAGATAATGCAATTTTTTGAAGCGATGTGATGGGGAATATGTGGTTAAAAATGAAGGAAAAGTTATTGATGTGATGAAAAATATTATTTTATTGAAAAATATGTGTTTGAAAATGAATAGAAAAATGAAAATGAAAAAAATAATGTGGGTCAAACAGGGGCATAATATTATTAGCAAAACTCTGTAATCAAATTTACTTATTTTGAATTTTTTTTAAAAAAATATATTGAAACACAAAAAAGGAAGAAAGTTGTTTATTTTAAAAATCAATTTAAAAAAAATAGAAAAAAAAAACAAAAGATAAAGTAGGGCCATTTGCCACAATAAAAAAAGAATATTGGGACTCATCAAGCCCAGCTATAGAAGTGTCAAGTGAGGTGAGACAATGATATCCAATTGTTCTAGATTCTTCACAAAAGCTCTCTTCGTCAACACCAAACCCAATTTACTCACATACCCAGCCTTCTCCATCTCTCGGAATCTCTCGATTCATCTTCATCAGGTTCGTGCAATGGCTTCTGAATCTGCCTCCTCTTCAGCTTTCAAGAAAATCCAGATTCAGAGAGACGACACGGTGAGACTAAAAATCTCATTTGCTTGTCTGTGCCTCTACGCGTATGTATTTAATCGCTTTATCCTTGTTTTCCCCATTTTTTCATTTCCTTCCTGTTTCCTCAGTTGGGTGGGAAGAGATGATATTTTTTTATTTGAGTACTATAAAGTTGTTAGATTTTGATGAACAGAGAAAGGATGATATTGCTTTTTGACTGGAAAGTTGAATCATGCGTTTGAAATTGTGATTTTGCTTTTGTTTCTTTTCTAAGTTTCCTTTTTCTTTTTGTCTGGGGGGAATATTAAGCAGGCATTTGATGCCTATGTGATTGGGAAAGAAGATGCTCCTGGGGTTGTTGTGCTTCAGGAATGGTGGGGTGTTGATTTTGAGATCAAGAACCACGCCCAGAAAATCTCTCAGTTGGAACCTGGCTATAAAGCGTTGATCCCAGAGTAAGATACTGCATATGAATGGTCATGCAAATTTGACTTGATCTTTTTGCAAATATTGACACATACTGTTATAATTTGTTGGCATATGAGAATTGATGCTTTTATATTTTCCGGTGTTTTCTTGTAAAATTAATAGTTTGTACCGAGGAAAGCTTGGCTTGGATGTCGCTGAAGCTCAGCATTTGATGGATGGTCTTGATTGGCAAGGTGCGGTGAAGGATATTCAAGCTTCAGTTAACTGGCTTAAGGCAAATGGTTCTCAGAAGGTATGTAACGCTTTTTAAGAAAAATTGGGCAGTTCCTTTTATATATGACAGAACAAACTGAAGGGAAAGTAAAACTAAAAAGTATGGAGGGTTGAACTAAGAAACACTCCCTTTTATGTGGGTGTGCGATTTGCCTTTATGTGCTCAAAGAATTATTCATATATACTTTAAAGAACTGCAAGCTATGCCCATATTTGGAAAGTTGTTTCGATTTTGTCGTACTTAAAAATTTTGTGTTTGTTTATATATTTGATTAAGAGGACGGGGTGGAAAAAGTTAAAACCGGAGAATTAAATACTTTTTGCTGAATTCTAGATTTCGGCAATTTTGATGAACACGTGGTTCTTTGTACTTTTTAGTAAGCAAATTTGTAGCTTTTTGGTATTTATGCCACTTTGATGAAGCAGGAGAAAGTGTTTAATGAGAGAAGGAGAGCCAACTCTCAACTTTGCCTCCCACAAAGCCATTGCTTGTGAAGAATTTGTTAGTGTTTTGTTCCATGATTTATCACATGCTTCTTAGTTCATCCATTTAACAAATTCATACGTGTTTTAGGTTCCTATAGTTCCTGTGAAGTTAAAACTCTAAGCTTTGTTATACACCTTGGGAAGCTTGTACCGTAATTTGTAACGAACAGCCAACACTTACTTTCAAATTAAATGTTAACTTTCTTTTGAAAATTTCCGGAGTTTCACTTTGAGACATATTAGTTTGTCTTTCATTTTAATTCTATCACAATCTAGTAAATTTAACATGCATAATCAAGCACTAATGAATTAAAGCAACTTCATCTAGCATTCTTTATACCGGTTTAATGAGTTATTTTTGTCTTTATTAGTTGTTTGAAATCGGTGTGATAAGTTGTTTCTTTTTGCATTTACTGATGGAACTTCTCAACTTGCTCTGTTGTTTTTTTTTTCTCTGGCAATAGGTTGGTGTAACTGGTTACTGCATGGGGGGTGCTCTTGCTATTGCAAGTTCTGTGTTGGTCCCAGGGGTTGATGCTGTGGTAGCCTTCTATGGTGTGCCTTCACCAGAACTTGCAGATCCTCTCCATGCGAAGGCACCAGTGCAAGCACATTTTGGTGAGCTCGACAATTTTGTTGGATTTTCTGATGTGAAGGTATGGTCTGGAGATTCCTGTGATACTTGTATCCTTTTACTTAAACTCCATTTTTCTAGGTATGTTTATTCATTGTTTTTGGACAGTGTTGTTTCTTCAATGCCAAAAAAGCATATTGTAGCTAAAACATAAACTGAGTGTCAGTATTGTAGCTAAAACTTCTGATATTTCCTTGCTGCTTGTCCTGAATAGGATCTATAAAATCTGCGGGAGGTTAGGGTAGATAAGTTGGTGCATGGTGGGATGGGAGATTTTCCATTTAAGTCGTTTACAGGTTTTTAGTCAAGCTACTGATTTTCCTTGGCTATGGGCAAAAAAAGAATTTGATTGCAGCTTCTTCGGTGTGGCAGCTGCACAAGATGTGTCTTGAGCCGTTAATAATCATTAGCAATACATTCGGGTGGTTGTTTTATGTACAATTGCTGATAAAGATGTTAGTCTTTTATATTTTAAATTTTCAACTGAGTTACTGCAGTCAGATATAACCATTTTGCTGGAATCTATTTATAATATGTGAAGGATTCTAGAAGCTTTACTGGCTTGTTGGAACATAAAGGAGTTGTAAGGCTGAAAAATGAAATGTGGAAGTTGGTGTTGCTGTGTCATGTGTGGGTGTTTTTTAGGCTGTGAAATTGAGGACCCTTGAAATGATGAAATCGGGAGGGCGTTTACATTCATAAGTTACATTCTTCTTATGAATATAGAATATTGCTTAGCCATTCTTTAAAAAATCACGTTTCCCCAAATTCATTTTCAACCACACATTTTCCTAATGAAATAATTTTAATCTTAAACCTAGAACTTTTCCCTACTTTCTTACCACACATTCTTCAAAAATACTATTACAAAATCTATTCTCCCAAAAAATGGGGCTCAAACAGACCCTTAATTTGTAGAATGTTGGATGGCTTTTTTATGAACCTGCAGAGATCCTTATCAGTGGTTTTGTGTATTGATGATATAGAGGGTTGTCCTCTCTCGGTTTCAAGCTTAAAGCTTGAATGAAATTCCTAAGCCATAAATTGTATAAATGGTAGCCTGCATATTTCGTAATTTAAACTGGCTGTTTGCAAATTACCAAGCTTCAAAATGTTCAGTGTTTCCTAACAACTTTATTACTAGTTTGTCCATTTTTAAAAGTAAAAGATTCAACTCTTGACCTATATCATCCAAATCATGGATGGCTCCTTGTAGTAACTATTCATGAAGAGATCTTTCGCAAGTATTATAGTTCTGCAGTTTTTTTTCTTGTAAGATATAGACTTATAGCGTGATTTTGATATTGTGTAAAAGCTGTTGAACTGACATTGATACTAATCAATCTTTCTTTGAGTCAAGTGTTGTGGTTATTTTTATATTACCCTAACTTGGTTCTGAGTGTGGTCGTCAGTCGAGTATAGGATAATTTACATCATTTGGGAGTCTAAGCATTCTGAAATAATTGCAGTAGAAGGATTAGTGACTAAAAGGTTTCCTGGATGAAGTCATAAATTTGAAGAGCATTTCTTCAAGAAAGTTTTCTTCATTTGATAGAATGAATCAATTTTTGAGGGTGATTTTTCATTACGTGTTGGTATGCTTCCTATCTTCTTTTCTTGCTAATCTCCTCTTTTATTTGATCCATTTTCCATCCTTTTTACTTCTAAAATGAACTCTGTTTCACTTTAAAGAAGGTGTGATAAAGGGCGGTTATCTGTTGCAATACCCTTTGAATGTTCACTATCTTGTTTTGCACGTGGAAGTCGAACCCATTTCTGGACTCTCCCATTTACTCAATTAGATGAAAACAACTTTGGAATCTGATTCACCTTCAGTTTGGCGATTTGAAGATTGTAGTGAAGAGCTTGTACATTGATATGGATCCTAGTCAAATCATTAAATGGTATTGAATAAATATTCAATATGGACACACTCGAAAAGTGTTTTTAAATTAAACCTCAAATGGTTGCAAGTTGAACGGAGAATATACATCAAAGAAAGAATCTTCTAACCATGATGTATGAGCTTTCAAATGTTGAAAAGACGACTCTTGCACATTTTGTCTTAATTACTTTTGTATATTTGCATTTGGAAGCATGCAATCGAATGTTGTTACATAGTATCTGGTGGAACGTGCATTAGCTACAAAATGGCGATAAGGGAAGCTGGCACATCTTCTTTGGGATATATTTTGTGTATTTGCACTGTCTGAAGCATGCTAATGAATGTGATTTTAGCATGTCGAGCGGACTGATTTGTCCACAAGATTCACAGGAACTTCCGAACTTGGGATTGCATTTTTAATGCGTTAAAGATTCATATTGCTAGTGTGTACATATATTGATTGCTATGAATTTTTGCATCCAGACTGCGAAAGCCTTGGAGGAAAAGCTGAAGGCATCAGGAGTTCCACATGAAGTACATATTTATCCAAGAGTTGCACATGCCTTTATGAACAAGTCCCCTGAAGGGGTTCAGAGAAGAAAAAATATGGGTTTGACTGAAGAAGATGATGTTGCAGTTGAGTTAGCATGGACCCGCTTCAGTAATTGGATGAGTCGCTTTTTGTCTCCCTGAATTCCTGCTTATTGTGTTTTTTCTTAGCACCTGTGTTCTTATGCTGATACATAGTAGAATCACATAGTATCTTGTCTGAAGACAATGGCCAGTCTGTGTTGTGTCATTGTTGAGTAAAATAAGGTTGTTATTACTTGTTCTGTTTACTGATGTTCACTCATGCTGGTCGATTTTGAGCGAGGAAACTTGTGTTATCTGTCTGTTTATGATGGTACGTTTACTTGCTTAAGAGGCTTTCTATGTTTTTAAAAGCTTTCTGCTCTATATCTTCATGCTTGTAATCACTTGATGATTTAGAGGTCCTTATGTGAAATTTTTATTGATACTTTCATTTACTTGATTGTTTTACTTAAATCATCGAACATATGATTTTATCTAAATCTTGTATGGTTTTGTTAGATGAACAAGTTGACATCTTTACTTCTCTCTTGTTATTTGGATTCAAGATGTTTAAAAATGTGAAGTCAAAATGCAAAGCTTTAAGAGTATTTTCAAGAGATTTTTTTATTTTTAAAGAGAATTTTTAAATTTAAAAGAATATTTTTTATATTTTCCAACAAACTGTTTTTATTTTTTAACTCCTCATTTCACAGATATTTAGATCCCTTTGGCCCATTAAAATTGTAATTTATTTTTTCCTCTATTCTTATTAACTACACATTTTTTCATAAAATAATATTACACGTGAATTGAAAATAATTTTTTCTTTATTAAGCACGCATTTTTTTAAAAGAAGTACTATTTAAAAAATTATAATCACAAATGAGGGTCAAATGGGGGCTTAATGTTCTTTTTCCTTAATTTTCAGTAAACATTTTTGGTGAAGGTTCAAATGTGACTCCCAATGATTTTAAGTAACTGATTATTGACACTTGCAATTTATTAAATACAAAAGGTATGAATTTTTTCAAAATTTGACTCTTTAAAATAGGGAGAATTTCTTAATAAAAGTTTAATTGCAAAGAGAGAATTTCTTAATAAAAGTTTAATTCCTACACCTCCTTAAATCCTGTACGGTAGAGTAGTTCGAGAATTCAATGCTGCTGCTTCAGTACCACATCCATTTGCCTTCAATTTTTGCCTCTTCTCAAATGAATGCTCTTGACATTTGCTAGAGGATTAGGAAAAAGACTCGCACCCACCAGAATAGGGTTAAAATTTTCAATGATTACTATACTTTTAACGTTGTTTCTAAATAGTCATTGAACTTTCAATATTGTTATTGGTAAACAACTTTGAAACTATATTGACTATCTAAGTTTAGTGATTATTGAAAACCTAAGTGATCATTGGAATTTTTTTACCATAGAGCTTCCATCAACTATATTGCCATTAACACAAGTTTTATGCTACAATGACTTGAGTCAAAGCAATATCACATCCACTGACATTCAGTTGGAAATGAAAAGCAAGAAGAATTAGTAGCGGTTGGCATTGTGTTATGTGTTTTCCTGTATGTTGCAATAATCATAATCAGTCAATTCTTCACTCAGTTGAGCCATAGCTACATCGATCTTTGCAAAACAGGCTTTGCCACGTATTATTATAAACAATAATTCTATTTAGCCCCCACTGGTGAACTCAGTGACTTGGATGGGATATTATGGCAGCTAAGATTTCACAAAAGTGATTTGAATTTACTTCTCATAAACCATAATCACTTAGCTGACTTTCAATTATCTCAACTTTGATGGAGCCACTTGCTTGCAGCCGGGACTGCATTTGCAGCCACACTTCTCTACTAAAACGGAGAAGCATCATCGCATAGCAAGAGATGATCTCTTTCTCTTTCTTATATATGTCGTATATTTCTGTACTAGTAAATGAAATGGAAGAAATGCATGTAGCGTCTCAGAAAGCAGCTTTCCACAAGGCATCCTCACCTTCCCCACACTGTCGATGTACCTCCTTTATTCTATCGGCCGATCTGCATATACCGCTGCAGCTCCAGTCAAACGAAGCAACGCAGATGTTGCCTGCTTGTGCCTTCCACTCACAATCTGCGATACATAAGCAAAAAGAAAACAATTACATTGATACACACATCCAGATGCAACACAGCTAACATTTGCTGTTTTTGTCAATGGTAATAACCAACAGTTGAACATCATGTGATTTTCTCGTTTGGCCTTGCTTTCTATTCTCAGCCCTTATGGAGGTCAAAATCTGTGATTTTAATGTCATTTTATGCCACTTGATTTCAGGATATTACTTCTATGTTTAGATTTTCTCACATAAAAAACGACATTTTCTCTTCATTTAATTTGCTTCAATAAGCAATAATTTTAGACATCTTCAAATCGAATACCAAGTTACATATTTTCTCCCATGTGAGACTATATTTAAAGTAAGATCATTTGCAGTTGTACATAAATAAGTTTCAATTTTTAATCACGAACATGTGAAATCTCTCATTTGGTAATTAATTCTTTCACCTTAGGCTGCTTTTGTAGGATCTATTATTACTACACACACATTCAAAAACTACTGTCTTCAATGATTTTTTATTTTTTTTACTTGTCTGATTAGTATTCAAGGACAGAAACTGATAGAAGAGATCCTATAGAAGTAAGTTCTTTCTCTTTAATGGGTTATTACCATCAACCCTCATAATGTATTTAACAAGTATAATGATTCCACTGGCCCATAACAACTGTTAGAATTCACGCCCAGGATCGAACTTACCTATCAGGATGGAGGATTTAGTTATTCAAATTGAATTAGATAGTTTAAAGATTTTGTAGGATTGTGATTCACAGTTCTTTAAATGATTTAAAATGCTTAAAGGAAACAGATAAGTGGCTCAACTTTTACATTCATTCATTTTCAGATTTTAATGGATAACGAAGAATGTATGGAATTAGGAGAGAAAGATGGTTACCAGGTGGGGTTCCACAACACAGTCTCCGATCATCAATATGCTGCACATCAAGTCCAATGAACCATGATCCAAGAGACACGTCCTCATTAGCATACTTGTGTAGAACATGCCTTAAAAATTCAGAAAATCACTATCACACACACAGTTAACAGAATATAATGGTTACATACTCTTAATGTCAGGCAAGAATTGAAACATTACCTGTTTACTGAAATGTAGGAAGCTAAATCTTTTGAAATCGCATATAATTGTCCAGTAGCATGTCGGAAATACCTGTTTCCATTCTCCCCAAATTTCCAATATTCAGGTTCATGATATCTTACACCCCTGTTTCATGTAATTCAAAAAATGTAAGGGCCTATAGCTGATTTGGAACATTTAGGATATGTGAAAAAGTTGGAGATGTTTTGCATACTTCTGAGCAAGGACAGGACCAGATTTCATGCACCCAATATAGACCCTAGGCTTTTTCCGGTGTCTTACTAATGTTTCCCCAAGTGTTGCTGCAAAAGAGAATAAACATGAAAACAACAAAAAATTGAAAATATTCTCGAGATATGATATGTCAAATGTATAAAATTATATAAAAAGTAAGCTGCAAATCTAAAAAGAGAGAACCCCATTCATACCTGTTAGTCATCAGATCTCAATAAAATATTGACACAAAACTAATCCCAAAAGAAAGTTTCTGCTAGGAAATAAAATTGATGTGGCTTGATTAAAGGAGATCGGATTTAACCAATACCTAATTTATTCTGGATTTCTAATGAAAGGCAGGAAGGCAGCAAATATCTGATATTGACTATAATTACCTCAAGAAGGTAAAACTATTATAGAGAGATTCTAGTTACCTATATTTACGTGGACATCATCATCGACTTTAACGAAGTACTCTGCATCCCATAATGCAACAGCAGTAGCAAAATATATCTTCGTCTTTGCAGACAACTCAAGGTAACCCTCAACATGGTCCTGAACATATGAAATCAATCCAAATGTATCAGATTTTTCATGAAGGCAATAAACATCAGCATAAACTAACAGTACAATGCAGTTAAATAGGAAATTTCCAGTTGAAGAACGAGAGATTAGGTATTACCAGCCGCAAGATGTCCCCATGCTTTTTGTCTTCAGCTTCAATAGCTCTATCTAGAATACCCCCTAATGTGGCACTGAGTAAGGGAAGATTATATTTCAAATTAATATGAGTGAAACAATATAGATGATAAGGCAAACAAGATAAACACCTTCAGTTGATGGGAAATTTTACATGTATATAAGACAAGTTTTTGTCAACAATAAAGGACACGTTCAATATTCAATTGTGAAAAACAGTGTCTAAGAAATAGCTTGAATAAATGGTAGATCACAAAGACAAGTCAAGCAGCAACCAGCTTTGCAAAAAGCCAAAAACGACCAAAGAAATTGTGTTGTTTGCGGTAGACTAGATATGATGTATTGACCCAAAAACACAGTTTAACTCACATGAATGAGACAGACATACTTTAAGAAAAAACATTTGTTTATATATTATTCTGCCCTCCAACATTAACTAAGAGTATGTTTATTTGACAATTGGAGATTGTTTACGAAAAATTAGATCAAGATGCCAAGCTGTGACCAGAATTTTTATTAGCTCCAGACAAACTGCCCCATCGCCTTGCATTTAGAAAGGGCACTCATTCTATTCTTGAAGATATGCATCCTCAGAAAAACTGAAGTTCGTATAATAGTCTCCCCTCCGACCCATCGTGTTATAACATTGATATCTTCATTGACCTTTTCGCCCATTTAGAATTCAAAATTTCAAACGTTTGATGATCTTTCCATTTCTAATTTTGTCCTTTAGTGTAAGTGTGAAAGGAAGTTAAAAAATGGTATTTACTTTCTGAAATGCAGGCATCCAGAAGGTGAACTATAGCAATTAGCAATATCATGGGATACGAGGAGTACAAGTATTGATTGATTTTTTATTTTTGGTTTCTTTCACAATTATGAAGACAATGGGCATCAACAGAAGGAAAGCGTCCATAGTCATTGCTCTGCACGTTCTCACATGACAATTACACGCCAAAAAATTGAATTTAAGACACAAAATTACTATTTGAGTATCAGACCA